GTGAGCGTGTCGCGCGTAAACTTGGGCTTTTGGCCGATGTACTTGCACCATTTCTTGTAGTTGTCAAACAGCTTGGCGTGGAACTTGGTCACGGCCTTGTCGGCCAACTGCGCTTCCCGCTGTTGGTCCCGGGCGGGGACGGGCTGGTTCGCCGGCGCTTTGGGCTCGGGAACGTCCAACTGCTCCTTGTAGTTCGTGAGCAACAACAGCACATGTTCCTTTTGGTTGAGCACGTTGTTGTCCTGGAACCCAAATGTCGTCTTGAGGGACTCAAAAAGATCTCCGCTTTGCGAACTACAAACCACCAGGTGAGAACCGATACATGCACACGTGAAGTGGAAGCGTACTTAAACAGTTTGGACGCAATGGAATGGTAAATCTGCGGGAGATTGTCCAGTTCCAAGATATTAAACTTGGATGCGGCGCGCTTGTTGCCGCCGACGGCAGGGTTCTTGGCCTTTTGCGTCTTGATCATCTTGACGTATCGCAGCATCTTGTTGTTGAGTCGCGCAGACGCGTCCTGCTCTTCTTGTGTGCCGTATTGAATACCCAGCGCCGTTTCAAAGATCTCGACCGCTCGATTCAGGTTCCGCTCCGCGAGGTCCGTGTCCCCACCAGAGTTTTGGATGCCGACGCTTTCGTTCACCAGTGCCATGCCTTCGTCGCACAGCTGCTTCTGGCGTTCAAGGCCGCGACTCGCCGCATTGTCAGTGTCTCCTCGTTGTTGTTTCCTCATCCCAAACGTCCGTTGTGTCGCAAGGGGAAGTCTCGTCGGCGGCAAGGGACTTGGCACGGAATTGACGAAAACGAAAACTAACCGCCCAATATTTGGCGTCGGTTCTGACGTTTTATATCGAAAAACTGAGTCTTGCCCCTGCCCGGTATACAAAAATTAGGATATTTCAATACTAATACTACATCGGGGCTTTTTCACGTTTGTAAAGGCCAGGTCGACAGTTAGTAATGGCCAGAGAAAAACCTTTTTTCGTTTTTTTATTTCTCGCATCCGATACAAATAGCAAGTGGAATTGTATCCGAAAAAAGATATGTTGCGCCTAAGCTCTGAAAAATATAAATCACTTAACAGTAAGCACACGAGCACCAGAATAATTCCCCCCAGCAGTATTAATATGTTCCTTACCTTCAAAACACCCAAACTATACGTACACCTTTAGTGGGGGAATTCCTTAGATAAGATTCCACACATATATACAACAAAAAACCCTTGTAACATGGGACTTCGTCCTACCCCCGGAGGGCACGGATGTTTCGAAGTATAATGTTATTCCCGGAGTTAAGCGCATCACATCGGTTTTCTATCGCTAGGCACTGAGACGACTTAACCCCTCGCTGACATGCGTTGCTGGTGCTACTGCATCATTAGAAATCCCACAACTATACTTATTTATGCAATAATTGCCTAGTCCTCTAACCCTTTCGCACCCATTTCAGACAGTTTGATTGGCCAACGCAACTGAACTTAAACGTTCAAAAGTTACACAAGAAAAACCTCATCCAAATCACAATGAACGAAAACTCTCAATCATCTCGCATGTCGACTCAGTTTGTCCCTTATGCAACATGCTAATGTTACTTCAAAATGTCCACTTCATACATGAGAACGCGAGGATGTTGGGATGCAAGCACAGCGGTGGTGTTCACCGGTTTGCCAGATCTCTGACCTTGTATTAGAACGGTATTTTGTCGGAGTCTGAATGCGTGAGGTATTATTATATCAACATTTTATAAAGAACTTTGTATTGAATTGTTTTAAATGGTTTTGACGTTACATGCGGAAATGCATGATCTTTAAAAACTGACATGTACTAGTACTAGTACTAGTAGTATACATGCTGCGCTCGCACATGTGCGCATGTTTGGAAAGTCCAATCGCAGGTGGTTGATTTCTCGGTAAAGACGCATGGAGTTGAGCTGAAACTTTGAGATCATGTACTTCACATGTTTAGGAAGTTAGTGCATGCAAGAATTCTTACCTACATGGAGTACAGAAGACGAAAACGACGGAGTACAGAAGACGAAAACGACGATGGTGGTCGAATTTGTAGTTTTTCGCGAACATGCATGCGATCACATGCGCAGGAGATGCTGCTATCTGTAGTTAGCTGCCACGGTGCAGGTTGTGATGTGCATATGTGCCGTGTAATAGTCTACAAGTTGGTATGCGTCCCTCTCTCGTCGTCATTCCTAGCCTACAGTATGTATTCGCCCACCAAAGTTCCGCATTATGCTCATGCTTCGAATCCATTAGGGTAAACGTTTTTTTTCTGATGCTAGTACTGCAGAACGGGTAGGGGATGGGTAGTAAAATTCTAAAAATATAAAGGTAAACGTATTCCCAGGAATTAAATTTCACATTATATCCGACAGATGTGAGACAAATACCCGGTTTAACCATGCTAATAGCGCAGAATCATCAGTTTGTCAAATGAAAGGAGTCATCAATTCTGTGATCGTCACGGCAATGTCCGCTTACATGTTAACGTTAGTGGATCGCAATGTCAAATTTGCGGCCTGTTCTCTCCCCGGTGATTCCTGCAACGCAATTAGAGTTTGTTCGACACCCACCGGTGATTTCATCGGTGATTGACCTTGCCTTTTCAACACCCAACAAAAAATTACAAATGAATGAATCACCGATATTTTTAACGGTGATATTAACGATAACGTTTTGTCGGTCTAAGGGGGTGAAACCCAAAATGGGTAACGGTAACGTTTTGTCGGTATGCTATTGGCTGGCAATGGCTCTTGTGTAATGGAAACCCAAAATGTGGAATAATTCCCGTATTACTGTACAACAGTTCCACTGTTGTTTGACCTGAAATACTATTTCAATGAGGGAATTATTACATCAGGATACACCTTTTCGTCAATAGCCCTGTAACCTGGGACTCCGTCCTACCCCCGGTGAGTACGGTGAGTACATACGATGCTAAATCTCCGGGGTTAAGAGGTGAGGTTGTCTGAGCATACAAAGTTCCATATAAACCTCCTTTGAAAACAGTATTTCGGATCAAAACAACAGTGGAACTGTTTCAATGAGGGAATTGCACCCAAAATGCGTTAACGTTACCAAGTAAAATTGTCGTTGTTTGATCATCGATTTCTCGTGTTTTGACCGTAAATTTCACTCTAACGTGATTGGACAGTGCCAATTTCGTCGTCACTACCTAGTCCCATTTGTCGTCGATATTCCGTTGCATAACCATAGCGATTGGTCAAGACTGACCAATCACACTTCACTTTTGCTGGTACACACACAGTCATTCATTTTCAATGGCAGAGCGAATAAAGGTCAAGACGCCCATGAAGAAGGAGTTACCCAAGCGTCTAGCCCGACTGAAAGCCGCGAACACAGTCGGCGATTTTGGTTCACTGAGCACGGAAGACGAAGCTTCAAGACAAGAAGCTCACGTGGAGCGTGGACATGGTGCAAGTACTCCTCGAACTTCGGTTGCGCACATTCTCGGTCACATTCGGCGGCTGCAAAAGCCACCAGCAGCTTTCCATGCCATGGAAGAAGATTGCACTGTGACTCAGAGTTGTGTCGGGGGTGGCTGTATCGCACTCCTCTGCTAAAGCCAAGTACCACAACCTCAAGCCAGATTATTTTCGCGTCCGGGTGTCAGAACAATAAACGGGCAACAACGTCAATCAGGCGGTGAAGCTTCCGTTTTGGGCATACCGTATTCGGTTCAAGCTGCGAGTGCGTGGACAGCGGTAAAGTCGACCTTAATCGCCAGTGCGCGTATAACGCGAGTTTGCTCCATCAGGACTACAATTACACCAACCGGTGTGGATTGGCTGTGAATTGATGTACTACAGATAACGACGTTGGGACTGGCGCACAGTGGTACCAGGAATATCTTTATAAATGTGAGAATGAACAAATGCAATCAATAGACGCTAATTTTAGCCAATACCTGACCTTCAACCTCATTCACCGTGATTGGGTACTTTGAATTTGTTAA